GGGCAGGCATCGCAGTCCATGTCAGTCCCTGTTCCCCACGATTTGCACATGCCCCGATAGTGCTAGGTTGCGGTGCCTCTAACGCGCCTTCGTCAGGTGCATATTTCAGGGCCCTCTGGGTTGGCAATTGCAGCGTTTTTGCCTCTTCGTCTTACACTGTGCGGCTTTTTTGAGTAGCAGGGGAAATCTTGGTAGATTTGCAGGGCCTGACCAAGTTTTGCAATCAGTCTGCGCAAAGACCATGCTTCCGCGTTCTGACACGTTTTTTCCTCCAAAACTATAGAATGAGTCAGGGATTTCCGCCTTGCCCCATGATACGTTTCTCATGTTCTAGACTATGTGCACCGGCAAGCTTTGCACTCGGAACCAAGGCGCCCTACCGGTGCCGTTGCCTAATTCTAACAGCAGATTAGCAAGGCTCTTCTGGGGTATTTCAATGAGCCCATGTTTGGCAATGTTGTCCTTGCTCTTTCCAACTCTTGCTGTGTGTCCCCAGATTGATGGGCGGGAGTTGGGATGCGAGCTTTCATCATCTTGACTATGTCACCAGCGAGAGGAGAAATGAACTTTTGGGACTCCTGTTGCAATGCCTTTTGATGGGGGAGATCAGTTTAGATGCTTGAAAGCCAAGTACGTTGCACAGTGTCCTAAGCATCACGACAGGTGTTACACCTGAGGACGTCTTCCTTGGCTTTCCCGCCTTGGGTCTTAGCCTCGTTAGTTAGGGACCAAAGGGACTGCACGGCCCCGCCGTGTTAAACGTCAGTGATGAATGCAGGAACGGAATTTAGCACAACCTGGATACACGGGCCTTGTCACCTACAAACGAACAGACACACACACACAAAGCGCAGCCGGCTGCCGATGCTTGATCAAAGGAGACTCGTTCCAGCACAGACCCTGGGCCCGACCGCAGACAGCTTTGCTGCCATTGCAAAGCTAGGCGGGAAATGGAGAAACAAGATGCAATTGCTCGCGAAACTCTTGCGGATGGCAAGGTGATACTGCTTTGTTAGGCTTCTGAGGCAGCCCTTCCTGCCCTGATGCCAGGCCTGCTTGAATGCAACCAGGTCTGGAATGTGAACTTGCTCTTCCCTTTCCTCAGCAACGACCTCGGATTGCCCACCGAATGGCAATACTCCTACAGCAGGATTCATGTGCCCAAGCCCCAGCCTTTTCGCGCGAAGCTCGGACAGATGGCACTGCACTTGCCAGTGGGACCATGAGCATCTGCAAAGCTGAGCTTGACACTTAATAGTAAGAAATACATTCAATACCTCAACTGGTTGGCTTCCCTGCATAGTTGCAAAACTCGCGCCTCGTCAACGGCTTCAATGGCCTGTGTGACTTCACTTCGTGATGCTCAAGCGGCAAGTGCGGTGAGTCAATTCTCACCCAGCCACTCATTAAGCTGCTACAATTTTGGGCACCCGCGATCGTTCTGTTTCCTGGGCCCTCCCTTTCGTGGCACGGATCATGGCGGCTACCAATGAACGGGCGGGTCTCGCCTGCTGTCGTTCATCTTCCCATGTCTTTGCTCGATCCTGATCTGGATCCAGAAGGAAGGCTGCTCCTGCCGACACACTCTGTCCATGCACATGTCAATGGACGCGGCACGTGAAAAGCCGCTCCTAACACCGCGGATAGCCACTTGGCCACGCAGGTCCACTTGGACTGCGCCCGGTGGACCTCCTGGCAAGTCATGGGTTCTGAAATGCAGTGCCTGGCGAGTCGGAAAGAGCCTCCTTGGCCAATCTACGAATGGACTCATCGATCTCCTCCCAACAACAAGCCGGCTTTGCATGTGGTTACCACCATGCCAGCTCAACTCCGTTCGATGCAGGTTCGCTGCTCCTCTTCGTCGAGTTCATCCAGCACGGCATCCATGCCTGTAAGACAATGGCGGCTCACACAGGCTTCGCAGCCTCTAACTTTTGCAACCGTTCTCATCTGCAAGGGTGGCACCGGAGGGCTCCATTTTTGGGAATTATTTAGGCTGTCGGCTTCATACAAGCCCAAACCCTGGCTGAACACAGTCTCTCGTCTCTACTAACCCTAATACCCTAAACGACTAGCCGAAGTCGAATCGCGGGACCGAGCATCATCGGCAACAGCTGGAGCTGCTTCCCCCACTGATCCCTCATGATCCCTCATGATCCCTCATGATCCCTCCCATCCAGAACGACCCCAAGAACAGGCCCGGCTGCCACCACGAACTAGGTCGGGATTAGCCCCCGCAAATCTGACAGTATTCTGGGGCTTTCCCCCTCTACTGATTCAGCAATGCTGTTCTCTGAACGGAAAGGTTTGGCGAGGGAGCTTTCGTAATTATGATGAATATGTCGTTGATGATGATGACGACGATGGCGGTGAAGATTCCACCAGCCTGAAGATGTAGATGTGATGATGACAAAGCTGCTTGGCAAATGCCATGCTTCCCCCCTCGCCGCCCGCCCCGGAACCAATAGCTCGCCGCTTTCCCGACCTCATCCTACACTGCTGAAGCTTGTGCTGTAGCTTCCGTGATCATGCAATGGACTCTGGGTTGCAGCACTCATCAGTGCCCATCTGTCAGCAGTCGCACCTTCGCTGGTGGCTTGAGGACCCTTGCCTGGCACAAGCTTCGAAAGCGATGGCCTTGAGTGATAACTTTCATGGATGCGGTCTCGCAATTGTGCTACTTGAGTCTTTTTGGCTCACCGGAATTTCGGCAAAATAACAATCCCTGAACGACAATCCTGATCTCAACCATGGTTTTCAGACCCTCCGCCCCTTGACCTGAAAAGGGGGTTCTTCTATATTCGGGTGCCGCTGTGTGCCCTCGCGCGGCCCGATCTTTCAAGTACATTTACATCTTGAAGACATACAGCGCAGCTGACGTCTACAGAACAAAGCCTACGAAGGCCTAAACATAACCTACATACGCCCCCGCACCCAAAACCTGACCCCTGCCCCACTTTGCCATCGCTCTGAAAGATTGAGGGCCACCTTGCGCGTGATTAGTTCTACCTTGTCAGTCTGGAAGTTCCCAAACCAGAGTGTACTCGCATCGATTTTGTTTGCCCTTGTGCTTTGCCCTTGCGTTCACTTGATCGCTGCAGGGCTTTCAGGGTGTCCTGAGCCAGAACAACCCTGAGGCGAATAATTCTCAACACTTACGGGTAACCGCTTGTTGGGCGCGGGCAGTCCCAACACATTGATTAGACTTCGCGCGCCTGAATACAACTTTATGTACGCAGGAACTGTAGGGTCTATTCGAGGATTGTTTTTTGAACGGGGGAAGCATACCAAGTCAACCGTTTCGGCCATTGCCAAACACGTGGTTGAACGATTTACCCTGTTCCATTTCCATGCCCTATCTCTGTTGCTCCCTGCTTGCGTTCCTATTCCCTGAAAAGAAGCAACTCCGCCCCGCCCTTCCCTTTCAATGGTAGCTTCAGCATGCCTAGGAGACGCAAAAAGGAAATGCAAAGAAGATAAAAGACCCTTCGATACCTTCTTGCTGTCTTCCTGTTTTTCTGCAACTCATGTGAGTAGAGGGAAAAGGCGTGAAAAGACAAACAAGGGAATTGGAGAAGATGAGGAAA